CCCAGAGTGCTAGGATGACAGGCGTGAACCACCACAACTGGCCCTTCGAACATTTATTATGTCTGTTTCCATGAGTCAGAAGTCTAGGCATACAGGTTAACTGGGTCTTTTGTTCAGGTTCTCAAGATGGCAACGAAGGTATTGGCCAGGATTATAATCTCATCAGGGCCTCGGGGGTGGGGGGGGGTCTTCCATGCTCACTAGTAGCTGGCAAAATTTACTTCCCGTGGTTGTGGGACTGAGGCCCTCAGTTCCTAGGGTCTGCCTGCTGTTCTGACACATGGCCCTTGCCATTAACATGGCATTTTGCTCTAACACTAACAGAAAAGCACATCAATTATTTTTTTCTTTTTTTGAGACAGAGTAGAGTGCCATGGCATCAGCCTAACTCACATTCTTGAGCTCAAGCAATCCTCTTGCCTCAGCCTCTGAGTAGCTGGACTACAGGCACCTGCCACAATGCCCAGCTAGTTTTTCTATTTTTAGTAGAGACAGGGTCTCACTCTTGCTCAGGCTGGTCTCAAATAACTGTGCTGATGGGAATCCTTCCACCTTGGCCTCCCCAAAGATTACAGGTGTGAGCCACCGTGCCCAGACACTTCTGCTGTTTACTTTTAGACACTCCCAAAAAGTCCACCTGGTTAGGTCAGGCCCACCCAGACTAATCTCCCTTTTAATTCAAAATCTGATTAGGAGGCCCAATGGAATGGCTTATGGCTATAATCCTAGCACTCTGAGAGGACAAGGTGGGTGGATAGATTGCTTGAGCTCAGGAGTTCCAGACCAGCATGAGCAAGAGCGAGAGAGACCCTATTTCTAAAAATAGCTGGGCACTATGGCAGGTGCCTATAGTCCCAGCTACTCAGGAAGCTGAAGCAAGAGAATTGCTTGAGCCCAAGTTTGAGGATACTGTGAGCTGTGACGCTATGGTACTCTACCGAGGATCACAAAGTAAGATTCTGACTCAAAAAAAAAATCTGATTAGGGATCTTAATTACATCTGATTGCGGTATAATTAATGTAACTTAATCTTATTACAGATTAAAATGGTCCATCACATTCACAGGTAATGCCACACTCAAGGAGAGGAAGGAAGGCCAGGTGTGGTGGCTCATGTCTGTAATCCTAGCACACTGGGAGGCTAACACAGGTGGATCAGCTAAACTCAGAAATTCAAGACCAGCCTAAACAAGAGAGGTGAGACTTCATCTCTACTATAAATAGGAAAACTAGCCAGGCTAGTGGCTGGTGCATGTAGTTCCAGCTCCTTGGGCAAGAGGATTACTCAAACCCAGGAGTTTGAGGTTACT